GGCCAAAGAGGAGAGGTGAGGCTGTCTGGGACTCGAGGTCTGGCCCAGTTGGTCCGAACAGAACCGGCAGAACCTGCAGACACACGGTTTATTCACCCCGTTTAAGGGGAAGTTATCACTTTTTATGTTTCTCCACCAGAACCAGAACCAGAACCAGCCTCTGCGTACGCCGCCGTGAGGACGCAGAACTTCTGAACCAGCCGGACCAGAGGTGAGGCTGCTCTGTCCTCACTCTGGTCTCAGAGCCTGCCTCCTTAGGGAAACATCTGCACTGGTATCAGTACCTGAGGTCTGTTGAGAGCAGAGAGCAGAAGCAGCTGAACTCTCCACCTGTGTGTCTGTTTGCAGAGGCTGAAGCAGAACCAGGAGCAGAACCAGCTCCTCAGACAGGGAGCCAACCGGGCCGAACCGGGCCGGGCCGGGCCGAGCCGGGTCAGACGGAGCCAGGTTCCCACCCTCTGAGCAGCGAGCCCTCCTCATCATGGCCTATCGACTCTTTCATTAAAGAAGCAGAAACAGGCGCTGTGTGTCCTCATTAATCTAATAAACAGGAAGTTCTGGTGGTTCGAGCGGTGTGGGATGGAAACTGTGACGAGGCTCAATTGTGGTGAAGATGGGCAGCAGCTAGAGAACAAATAGAGGAACCACAGGCTGAGTCTGTGGTTGGAAACTTTGAGGACATCTAACAGGTTATTTTGAGGCTGGTAGCAGGCGTTTTTCAGAGCAATGTGAGAACTACAAACCACAGACTTTAACTGTGGACTGGACACACTGGTTTCATGTTGGAGCCCCTGAGGGAGGGAGGAGCTGCAGCCCAGTCTGAGCTAAAGGTCACAGGAAGAGCCTCTGTCTGTGGACCCTCTGCTGCTAATGTCCTGCTGAGTCTACCACTGTGTGCTCCTGAACAGCCACTCTAACACCAAACAGAGGCTCTGAAACTGTGAACCAGCAGCTCACCCTCACCACCCAGAACTAAGTCAAGCTTATTTAATTTAGGGTGTAAACTTCGACTTCTGTGAGGGACTAACACTGTGCTGCTGGTCTCGCATTGTTTGACGGATCGGGCCCAAAAAAGAGACGTGACCACGGGACGCATGCTGGTATTTCCCTCTCTCCTGAGTCCTGGTGTTTTTTAATAAACAGCTAAAAAGCCTGCTATCAGCCTGCTCCCCCTGTTATCAGCCTGCTATCAGCCTGCTATCAGCCTGTTATCAGCCTGTTATCAGCCTGCTATCAGCCTGTTATCAGCCTGTTATCAGCCTGCTATCAGCCTGCTATCAGCCTGTTATCAGCCTGCTAT